TAAAAAAAAAAAAACAGGAGCCGGGGGAAAATGACTTTCGTGTGATGTTTAGTTTTCAGGACAAGCTCTAATGGGTGCAACTTTCTATACAATTTGGTTTCAACAGCAATACCAAATGGCTAAACCAGGCACTTTCTACTTATAAAATAGTATACAAGTCCAGCATTATAGGCTGTGTGTGCTAAAGGCGTGAAAATGGTCCTTTATGTGTTTATTAATAGAAAGAGTACCTGTCGCGTGCGGATATGCACTAAAACGCACCGGTACTGAGTGAGCAAATAGGCCGTCAAAACAATACATAATGTTGTGAATGAATTGTATTCTAGGAGATTGGAAGTCGAAGTTTGACCAAGGCGGACGTGTGGTCCAGCCTTGCTGTGAATCCTTGAGGACGCTCTTCCCCGGGATGCCACGGAAAGATTCGAAGCATACAGTCTGAAGGAGACAGACGTGTGGTCGTGTCTCAGTAGATCCTTAAGGACGCTCTACCCCATGACTCCACCATAAACCTCAGCCGGAAGCTGGACATTGTTTATTGCGCTCGACAAGAAGCCGGTATATTTTAAGGAAGGATTCACTAGGCCGAATCATTAAAGAGGGACATTGCCCTGTTCAGACTGCAGAGATCGAAGTGACCGTCCGGACTCTCAAGGTCGGGCTGTTGACCTGTTGTTTGAAGATGTCATTGGAACTTATTAAGGGTGTGCGTGCGGTAGCTTGTGTTGTCGTGTTTGGGTGAGTCTTCACCAAGAGTCCTATTATTTGCACATTGTCTTATTTTGATCAAGTGTGTGTGTGTAACAATACACCAATAGTATAGTTTCCTAGCCTTCATCGTTAACAGCCGTTTGGAAGTATTGCAGTTCATACTGTTCTGCCACACGGCTGGTGGCATTGTATTCTAGATTAAGATGTATTCGTTTGTACCTGATTTTAAATTTCAGTGGGAACCATCGCCTGTCAGCACCAGAACGCACATCACTTTACCATACCCTCTGCTGTTAGGTTTTTCCAATCTGCCATGGCGCTTAATGTGACTAAAATATTTCAGCTTCCGGGACAAGATAATGTTTATTGGCCAGTTGTCCTTGATGTTCAGATCTTTTTAACTGTCACTATTTCTTCTCTTCTTTGTCCAAGATATTCTGATAATCTTTCTATATTATTTCTGTTCAATAGCCCATATTCTCTGTCTTAAGTACTGAGAAATATTCAACAGGTCGCATCCATATGAAGATGCAAGGATTGCAAATATAGGACTATACTGTTATGAGGAGATCATACCAATATGGTGTAATAAATCACAGTTGGCGGAAAATGCAGTAACTTTCGAGCTGTGAATCAATCATCGAAGATGATAAAGAAATTAACAAGGAAACCATGTTCTAGGTCATTAACCTTACACCGGACCTCAGAAAGCATCCTATACAATGCAGACTTACACGCCCCCCCCCCCCCCCCGCCCTTTTCACCCCCTTCCCCACACCCCTCCCACATCCTAGACAATCAGTGTTGATTGTTGAATGTTGAATTAGGAATCGACATCATAGCATTAGGACACTCCCATAAGCGCTCCGTCCCCATCTTTAGGAGCAGTCGAAGCGTTCCGGTTCTGATGGTACCCGTAACTGGACATCCGTCTCGCCTTTCTCATGAATGAGCGTCTTCCTCTGGTGCCTCTGTAACGATCTTGTGTACCTCTGTAATGATCTTGTGTGCCTCTGTAACGATCTTGTGTACCTCTGTAACGATCTTGTGTGCCTCTGTAACGATCTTGTGTGCCTCTGTAACGATCTTGTGTGCCTCTGTAATGATCTTGTGTGCCTCTGTAACGATCTTGTGTACCTCTGTAATGATCTTGTGTGCCTCTGTAATGATCTTGTGATCTTGTGTGCCTACCTCTGTATGATCTTGTGTGCCTCTGTCTTGTGTGCCTCTGATGATCTTGTGTACCTCTGTAATGATCTTGTGTGCCTCTGTAATGATCTTGTGTGCCTCTGTAATGATCTTGTGTACCTCTGTAATGATCTTGTGTGCCTCTGTAACGATCTTGTGTGCCTCTGTAATGATCTTGTGTGCCTCTGTAACGATCTTGTGTGCCTCTGTAACGATCTTGTGTGCCTCTGTAACGATCTTGTGTGCCTCTGTAACGATCTTGTGTACCTCTGTAATGATCTTGTGTACCTCTGTAACGATCTTGTGTGTGTGTGTACCTCCTCTGTACCTCTGTATGATCTTGTGTACCTCTGTAACGATCTTGTATGCCTCTGTAATGATCTTGTGTACCTCTGTAATGATCTTGTGTACCTCTGTAATGATCTTGTGTACCTCTGTAATGATCTTGTGTACCTCTGTAATGATCTTGTGTACCTCTGTAACGATCTTGTGTGCCTCTGTAATGATCTTGTGTACCTCTGTAATGATCTTGTGTACCTCTGTATCTTGTGATCTTCTTGTGTACCTCTGTAACGATCTTGTGTGCCTCTGTCTTGTGTACCTCTGTAATGATCTTGTGTGCCTCTGTAATGATCTTGTGTGCCTCTGTAATGATCTTGTGTGCCTCTGTAATGATCTTGTGTGCCTCTGTAATGATCTTGTGTGCCTCTGTAATGATCTTGTGTACCTCTGTAACGATCTTGTGTGCCTCTGTAATGATCTTGTGTGCCTCTGTAATGATCTTGTGTGCCTCTGTAATGATCTTGTGTGCCTCTGTAATGATCTTGTGTGCCTCTGTAACGATCTTGTGTACCTCTGTAACGATCTTGTGTGCCTCTGTAACGATCTTGTGTGCCTCTGTAACGATCTTGTGTGCCTCTGTAACGATCTTGTGTGCCTCTGTAATGATCTTGTGTGTACCTCTGTAATGATCTATGTGTGCCTCTGTAACGATCTTGTGTGCCTCTGTAACGATCTTGTGTGCCTCTGTAACGATCTTGTGTGCCTCTGTAACGATCTTGTGTGCCTCTGTAACGATCTTGTGTGCCTCTGTAACGATCTTGTGTGCCTCTGTAATGATCTTGTGTGCCTCTGTAATGATCTGCCTGTGATCTTGTGTGCCTCTGTAACGATCTTGTGTGCCTCTGTACGATCTTGTGTGCCTCTGTAACGATCTTGTGTGCCTCTGTAATGATCTTGTGTGCCTCTGTAACGATCTTGTGTGCCTCTGTAACGATCTTGTGATCTTGTGTGCCTCTAACGATCTTGTGTGCCTCTGACGATCTTGTGTGCCTCTGTAATGATCTTGTGTGCCTCTGTAACGATCTTGTGTGCCTCTGTAACGATCTTGTGTGCCTCTGTGATCTTGTGTGCCTCTGTAATGATCTTGTGTGCCTCTGTAATGATCTTGTGTGCCTCTGTAACGATCTTGTGTGCCTCTGTAATGATCTTGTGTGCCTCTGTAACGATCTTGTGTGCCTCTGTAATGATCTTGTGTGCCTCTGTAATGATCTTGTGTGCCTCTGTAACGATCTTGTGTGCCTCTGTAATGATCTTGTGTGCCTCTGTAACGATCTTGTGTGCCTCTGTAACGATCTTGTGTGCCTCTGTAACGATCTTGTGTGCCTCTGTAACGATCTTGTGTGCCTCTGTAACGATCGTGTGTGCCTCTGTGAACTTAAAAGGCCCTCAGTATTTAGCTTGTGGCTACTCATAACAAACCAGAAAACAAAGCAGGTAACAATGTAAATTGTGAGTCTGAGAAAGGCTGCAGGAGTGATAACAAAAGATAAAAACATGAGTGTCTCGTTTAGGAAATCATAGGAAAAAATATCGTTACAGACCAAATGCTAAAATATTTATAAAGACAGTAAATAAATCGGTTGGCTCCCTCTAAAGCGAGTGTCATAAAAATTATTCGCCATTAGAGAACTTGCGAAATGCCAACGATATAGTCTTAATCAATGAAAATTGAATATAACGACAAGATATTTTTCATATAATTGTAATAGTAAGTGAAAACACAGATCTTAGTTTTAACAGCGGGGCGGGGGGGGGGGGATACCTCAAGTAATGGTAATTACAAACATAAAAACTGACCCTTTGAAGGCCTAACCGCTAAAAGGGATTTCTGGGACCTCTCCTCGGGTGATCCTCATCCTCATGGTGGCACTTTGTGTCACCGGTTGTTTTTCGCTTGTGTGATATCCTGGTGGGGTACAACAACAATAAGAGAGAGAGAGAGAGAGAGAGAGAGAGAGAGAGAGAGAGAGAGAGAGAGAGAGAGAGAGAGAGAGAGACTAAATCCATAAGCTTGTCCCTTTTCTCTCTACTTCTGAATTAAATTCTAAAAGTAATAATCCATACCTAATCTAGTATTCAGTTTCCAAGTATCTATTCAAGCGGAAAGAAATAATACTTATCGTCACTAGTGTGTGAACGTCATGAATAGCCAAGAATTCGTGCCGAATGCTAATATCTCTAGATTGCTTTCTCAACCATTGTTTGGGCAGACAGACTCTTTGGACTAGCACTATTGTTATGCAATGAAGTGTGTAAATACAATGACATATAAGGTTCTGGTTCGACAAGGACAAGCGACGTCCTGACCTTTTTCTCGTGACAGCTTGGTGCCAACCTAAATTTTCACACTTAACAAGGGCTTCGTGCCACCCGTTGAATTCCCTTCAATATATTTCAGGCATTTCAAACAATTGGAACTTCTAATGGGTTTAACGTCTATAGCTATAAGAGCATCTCTCTCTCTCTCTCTCTCTCTCTCTCTCTCTCTCTCTCTCTCTCTCTCTCTCTCTCTCTCTCTCTATCTATCTATCTATCTATCTATCTATCTATCTTTCTCTCTCTCTTGTTGTACCCCACAAGCAAAAAACACCCGGTGAAACAAAGTGCCACCATGCGGATGAGGATCACCCGTGGAGAGGTCCCAGAAACCCCCTTCAGCCGTTAGGACATATTGATGGTCCAGCTATATTCAGCGCCCCCTGCAAAAGCCAGGGTGGGGCTTCAAATAACGAAAAATTGCATCCTACATGGGGGACGACTGTGTTACTATACTATAAGAGCATGCTCTATTCTCAAGCTTGTTCCTAGATTATTTTAAAACAGGATTTTTGACATTTTTGTAGCATACCGACGAGATGACCGGGACATAACGTGAAAATTGAAATTTTCACGTGACAACAATACCAATGCTCACCTTATGCACGTGTGTAGGTGTGCCTGAATCTGTGTGTGCGTGTGCATGTCTGTTTGCTTGTGTGCACTACTGTCAATAGAGTAAAGAAAGAGAGACAGACACGATGATACAAACCGCACAGATTCTCATACAGCGCATACCAGCTCGCTTACCTACCTGCAGGCGGTGCAAACAGACTAAATGTCTTTTAAACAAGGTTTTCTTGTGGCTTTTAATTACGACACTCCACCAGTCCACAACGGTTTCCCATTCGTGGTGTCTTTTTGGTGGCTTCCAAACCGAAATCGCAGTGCACGAGTTCTTTTGTTTGCTGTCTGACATGTCAGCCTTCGTTTGTCAAAGGAAATTGCCAACATAATGATAATTTCATTTTTTAATTTTTTTCCTTCATTGACTTTCTATGCATTCGGTTAGTGATGTGATCTTCTACCGACTGGTTCTTTCCCCCAGCCTCTCCCCAAGCACACAACGCGCTCTCCAGCACTATTATATTTCATCCTCAAATCCCTTGCCAACTGCCCTGTCCGATCATGTATCTCCGGTTATATATATGGTCTGGTTTCTTTGTAACACTTGCTGGTTACGACTGAGATATGTGTGTCAGCGTTCTGGCTTTGTGTTCCTGTCCTCATAGATAGACCGCTCATTCGTCTGTATCACAGTGTGTTCCTGTCCTCATAGCTAGACCTCTCATTCGTCTGTGTCACGTGTTCCTGTCCTCATAGCTAGACCTCTCATTCGTCTGTGTTACAATGTGTTCCTGTCCTCATAGCTAGACGGCTCATTCGTCTGTGTCACAATGTGTTCCTGTCCTCATAGCTAGACCTTTCATTCGTCTGTGTCACAATGTGTTCCTGTCCTCATAGCTAGACCTTTCATTCGTCTGTGTCACAATGTGTTCCTGTCCTCATAGCTAGACCTCTCATTCGTCTGTGTCACAATGTGTTCCTGTCCTCATAGCTAGACCTCTCATTCGTCTGTGTCACAATGTGTTCCTGTCCTCATAGATAGACCTTTCATTCGTCTGTGTCACAATGTGTTCCTGTCCTCATAGATAGACCTCTCATTCGTCTGTGTCACAATGTGTTCCTGTCCTCATAGATAGACCTTTCATTCGTCTGTGTCACAATGTGTTCCTGTCCTCATAGATAGACCTCTCATTCGTCTGTGTCACAATGTGTTCCTGTCCTCATAGCTAGACGGCTCATTCGTCTGTGTCACAATGTGTTTCTTTCCTCATAGATAGACCTCTCATTCGTCTGTGTCACAATGTGTTCCTGTCCTCATAGCTAGACGGCTCATTCGTCTGTGTCACAATGTGTTTCTTTCCTCATAGATAGACCTCTCATTCGTCTGTGTCACAATGTGTTCCTGTCCTCATAGCTAGACCTCTCATTCGTCTGTGTCACAATGTGTTTCTTTCCTCATAGATAGACCTCTCATTCGTCTGTGTCACAATGTGTTTCTTTCCTCATAGATAGACCTCTCATTCGTCTGTGTCACAATGTGTTCCTGTCCTCATAGCTAGACCTCTCATTCGTCTGTGTCACAATGTGTTCCTGTCCTCATAGCTAGACCTCTCATTCGTCTGTGTCACAATGTGTTTCTTTCCTCATAGCTATACCGCTCATTCGTCTGTGTCACAGTGTGTTCCTGTCCTCATAGCTAGACCTCTCATTCGTCGGTGTCACAATGTGTTCCTCTAGTGTTTTCCTAGTGGACCATGCTTTGTCCGGTTTCACCTCCTTAATAGTTTGTCCTTGTGTCCTCCCAACTTGTTTCCTTATCTGTCTTTTTTTCTGGTAATCTGGTAATGTTAGTTTCAGCTTCACAGCAAACGGGTCACTCCCATAGTTGCTCCGTTCCTGTGCCAACTAAAACACACCGAATGTTTATCACAGGCCCTTGTGGAAAGATTGACAGACTGCTCTCTCAGCATATGCACTAGCATACATACGCATTAAAAGCACACAGTAGCCATCCGAAGTGCTAACAAACAGTCCGACATTAGAAATGCAATTCATTATGGATGGCAACAGAAGTCCCCAACAGATCAGCAGTTGCACACGCGATCAATTGTAATCACATAATGGCACCACCAATATTGCGACAACAGGCATCGCGCCATTTTCTTAACCTGCAATTCACACCACCACGTTGGATACAGTAGAAAAGCATTCCAAATTAAATCAGCAGCTCACAGTGTCACGCCATGCACTCAACTCAGAAGCTGGGCATCTCTCTGTCCCTTCTTAGTTTAGCCAAGCGTATCTCGTACCAGACCGAGCTAGTAGTTCGCAGCTGTTCTTTACATAATGTCTTGTCGAACCACGATTTATAGTTTACAATCTGTAACTTCCTGTATCAGTTCGTGTGTTGACACCTGTCCATGCCAGGACAAAAGGCTGTCAAAAATCGTTTCATGTTGTCTACCGCTTTCTCTCTTTCCACATAACCTTTGCAGTAGTCACAACATATTCAAGTGGTCGTCATCTGAAAGCATAAGTACTGTTGCTCTTTGCAAATATTGTTGCAACCGCTGCTATTTGCATCCTTACTTCCACTGTTACCACTAACATTACCACTTTTATATTTGTTACTTTGACTGTTGTTGGTAATTCTGCTCCGAATACAACAACACAAACAACCAAACAACCAAAACTGCCAGTGCAACAACTTCTGCTGCTACTTTTGCTACTGCTCACAATTCTACTTCTTCTGCTACTACTACTATTAGGAGCAGTAGTAGTACTTCTATTGCTACTACCAGTGTTGGTGATACTTCTAGTACTTCTACTACTGCTGTTTATTTTAATGTAATGCTTCTAATGCTGCTGCTACTATTACTTCAACTACTGATACTATTAGTAATACTACTGATACTA